GTTTGTAATTAGTTTTCACGTTGATTTTTAAATATCCTGCTATTAAAATCTTTGGATCTAAAAAAATGTTTTTGACAATTGCAAATCTTATCATTTAAATAAAGGGTAAAACATATGGTTCTTTATACCTTGATTAGAGTACAACGATATCTTAAAATTATGATAATGTATCATCCATGCAATTACTTTGTACACAGAAAAGTGTGTACTATGAAACCTTGTGAAGGAAAATTAAAGCAACTTGCTGATAATTTTTTAAACTTTCTTAAGAAAGGTGATTTATATCGTCATGAATTGATTTATTGATTATTGGTTGCTTAATGTCCAGTGGCAAATATTTCATGCATGTTCAGGACGATGTCATGAATTGAAAAACTGTAATTATGTCTGAAGATAATGTGCCACCTATATATATATATATATATATATAAACATATTCTGATAAATCTTAAAGTGTTTACTTTGAAATAATAATAAAAAACACAAAACACAAAACCTATAATCTCTGATCTATTGGTAGTTGGTTTTTAATGCCTATCTGCTAGACTATATCTATGGGGACAAACTATCTATATGTTTCAAATTTTTTATAGCTTTAGTTTTACTGTGAAATTAAAAAATGTTTTCAAAACATGTAAAGCTTCCACTGCTATTTAATTATTGCCTGCTTTTGGTCAATTTATTTTGTCATCTTACCATGTAAGAAGAACATGTATAGTAAAACACCGTTTTATATCAGTATACATACATACACCAGCAGCTACCATCTTTTCATTCTGGAGTGAAGGGCCTTTTGAAATCACATATTTTACAATGATACTAGTGAATAGATTTACAAAACTTCGTTAATGAGCTCCGTTTTACAAACACCTGTGATACAAGTAGTCAGCCAAAATAAACTATCAATAGACCAATTACAAGATTACTCGAGTTGTAAATATGTGCTAAATTGGATAGTCTATGAAAAGGTATATACTATGAAATTAAGAGCTCGGGGCAAGCCCCTCGCTCTAAATTTCATAGTATATACCTTTCCATAGACTAACCTAGACCTAGCAAGACTTGTCACACTAACTATAGAACGACTGTAAAAACGTTGTTTATTTGTCACTCAGTGCACACGGCCGTCACTCGGCTAACCGAGAGATTGGTCGGTTAATTTATATTGAGTATGCGGCTATATCGGCGGTTGGTCTGTTAATTGGGTTGGCTAAAGTCTGTTAATCAGGTGTTATGGAGAAAATACTTGCAAGTTCAGTATGTTTCATTGTATAACTTTTTGAATATATTTTTTATCATAAAAATTATTCATGTCTAACAAAACAATTCAATGTTCTGAATCCAGTGGTGTAATTATTTTTTTTCTAGCTTCGATAAACAATCAATAAAATGAAAAGGCGGGTTACTCATCAATAAATTTATACACATTTTACACACACAAAATGTACACAAAATGACAACTTGGCTGATTTTACTTGCATGCAATATTTTGAACATCGAAAAAAGACAGGCATTATGTTTGTTAACCATATTAATATCATTATGTGAAAAATCTACACGAAAATCTGTATTTTGGTGATATTAATCAATTTAAACCTGGTCTGTTAATGGGTCGGATGTATAAAACCCGGTCTGTTATTTGGTCTGTTAAGAGTTATGAATGGCAATGAAAATATAATTTGATTGCTTTATGGGGAGTTATCGGATCAAATGGGTAGGCTCAAGACGAGTGGCTAAAATATACGGAAACAACACATGAACAATGAAACATAAATTTAGACAATGGAAATTGGAAATTGATAAAAATGGTTTCAAAAAGTGTAATATTAAAGTAATATTAATTTCATTCAAGAGTAGTTGCATATATCATGTGAATTCTGTTTCGTTGTTATGAATGACACCAATTTGTCATCTACATTGGTAACCAGTATATACATCATTTTTATAGTTCGATCTTATGTTGTACTGTTATACCACTGTTCCAGGTTAGGGGAGGGTTGGGATCCCGCTAACATGTTTAACCCCGCCACATTATGTATGTATGTGCCTGTCCCAAGTCAGGAGCCTGTAAATCAGTGGTTGTCGTTTGTTTATGTGTTACATATTTGTTTTTCGTTCATTTTTTTTTATATATAAATAAGTCCGTTAGTTTTCTCGTTTGAATTGTTTTACATTGTCATTTCGGGGCCTTTTATAGCTGACTATGCGATATGGGCTTTGCTCATTGTTGAAGGCCGTACGGTGACCTATAGTTGTTAATTTCTGTGTCATTTTGGTCTCTTGTGGAGAGTTGTCTCATTGGCAATCATACCACATCTGCTTTTTTATATCAGAGATAAACGTCGTAATGTAACTAAACATCAGTAAGTAAAATATATTGGGATGCTAAAATACAAAGAATAGAGAAAGAATAATGAGAAAAATAAATAGAATATAGAGAAAAGTGACATAACAATTTAAAGAATAAAGAAATAAACAACATCCCCAATCCGGACCCTCATGGTATACACGAGAATCTTGATGGAGACGCAGAATATAGAATAATAGATAAGGACAGTAGAGAGTGATGCATTGCTAAAAAAGAGAGAAAAATAACAATTGTTTAAGAATATAGACATGAAACACCCCTTTTTACTATTTAGACCCTCCAAGATGATTGTTAAAACAATTTTGGCATTTATTCCACATCTCCTTATTTTTAAATTAATAGTATAGACAACGATATCTATATAGATGCTTTGCAATTTTTTTTACTGTATATCACTTTATGTTATTTGAGACTGGAGTCCGATAAACATTGGCCTCCTGTCAACCGCTGAATCTGATAGCTCAGTAAATATTGTAAAGTGAAAACAAAACAAAATTTCAGGGGGAGGGGGTGGTTGAAACAGTAACGGATTGCGATGTACTCAAATTGGTGACAAATGCTAGAATTTTACAAGCGCACAACTGCAGTTCTCCTCTGCACTTATGTAGAAAGTAATTAAACGGAATAAAATTAATTAAAACTTAAGATAATCAAATGTAGCTGCATTCGCTTCTTTCCATTTACTTCTTTAGAATGTTTTGTAAACAACATATGATTAAGTAATAGAACAAAAGAACCAATTGGATGATGCTGACGAATTAGGGTTTAACGTCCAGTGGCAAATATCATGTCCATATGAGAACGACAACACGTTATATGTACCCGGTGTTGTATAAGACAGACACTTTCAGTCGGATTTTTGAACGTGCTTCTTTGAACAGAAACAAAAATCAAGGCTGATTGAAAACGTTAATAATAAATGCATGCATATTCCAGCGGCCAATCCATATCAAGCTATATTGCAGTGACACACCTTTCAATAAAATGCAAAGAAAGTCAAAATAAAAATCCTCTTACTACAAGGATACTGTTGCACCGTATTGTCATTTTTTTTTTACTCAAGTACATCTCATTCTTAACTTTTTTAATGGGAAATTATAAAGGTAGCAAAACTATTGTCGTGGCTAAATAACTCTTAACTGACACAATTCTAATTGTCCAACCCATTAACAGACTTTATTCCCCTAATAATCACTAAAACGTGGTATTACTCACGTTATATTACAATTATGAAATATTTACTAATGTCAATTTATTTTTTAGAACCAAAGTACTATTTTGTGTCCTTTAAATGATATCTAAAATTGTTTGTTTCGCCTTTTATTGAAACAATAGCTATGCGTAAAAGCATAAATACCACATACTTGCGCGATGCCTTTTAGTTTTACTGAAGTTTGCGCCGACTATGAAATGTTTTTACAGGTGGAAAATGTTCTATGATAGATATCATTTTGTCAGACACTTTTCTTTTTTTTATTTGGTTCTTATAATATGCCAAAAATCTGTATATTTAACAGAGTTGAACATTTAAATTGTGCGTTTTACTCTTAACAGATGTATAACCGACCCGATTAACAGACCAACCGCCCATATAGCCGCATACTCAATATAGATTAACCGACCAATCTCTCGGTTAGCCGAGTGTCGGCCGTGGTGCAGTGAATTGGTATATGTAAGAGAATGATAATCCCTTTCTTCATGATTAAGTACTAGCGTTAGCGAGTACTTATCATGAAGTAAGGGATTATGTAATAGTTATACACCGAGGGATAGGTGTGTCTTGATAAGAAACCCCGACGGCCGGAGGCCGGAGGGGTTTCTTATCCAGACACGCCGTATCCCGAGGTGTATAACTAACTTACACCCAGTGCTAAACTCTATATTTGTTAACATTGATTATTAAATGAAAAAGAATGGTTAGCATATTTATTGACAAAATCGAACCATGAATTATAAGAGAAATATTTTTTTTACATGAAACTAGTAACCTTACTTTGGCTATGTTCTTTCAAACTTTGACAAGTGAGTAGATTTTACAAATGTCAAAGTTGTTGTTTTACATATTCCCGTTAAATCCTGGTGCTAATATGGATCAGAAGTTCAAGGTTGACCGTTTCGTGCATTCTAATCACAAAAAAAATACATCATGCTCCTTGTATGCAGTTGTCAATAAAGAGGGGTATAAGACGGACGACCTTTTGAGTCAAGCGTTGGATTTGATAGAAGAGACTAGAGATAAAGCAATATTATAACCCAAAATACTTACCTGTATCAGTTTAATGAAGGTAATCATAAAAGTATTTTTTATGTTACGGTTTTTTTTTTTAAAGCCCCCTTCCCCCCTTCTCGAGAATAAACAAACATTCATATTCGGACACACTGAGGGATAGGTGTGTCTGGATTAGAAACCCGACGACCGGGATTCAGTTGGGGGGGGGGGGGGGGGGGGAGTCCAGGAGTTTGAATCCCTGTTTTTTTTTAAGATCAATACTTTAGAATAGAGACAATTGACTAAGATAAAAAAGTTTACCTTCAAGCAAAGGAGTATTTAGGGAGCAACCATTTAACTTCAAAGGGGTTTGGTGGGGGGGGGGGGTATGTTTTTTTTTGTCGGAGTTTTTTATATCTTGAAACAACTTGTAGTGAACACTATTAGTAATTTCTTATGTTCATGCTATTTAGAAAATAATCAATTTCTATTGTAATGAATAACAATGGACTTTGTTTTCGGGATGTAGAAGCAGGGGTTTCCAGAAACCCGCTCGTCACACCCTGTGGTCAAAATCCATTGTTATTCGTAACAATAGATCTATTCAATTTACACTTGTTTCAGAAATAGAAACTATGAAGTATAACAATAGAACTGAGGTGTAAGATTCTCTTACAAACTTAGAATATTGTAAAGTGCTCAAGGCTCAAATGATCTCTTGAATGGTTATATTCAATAATTAGCCTCATTGTCAGTGCAATGTTTCTTATTGATGCATGACGTCCTTTTTCGGCATTTCATTTATGGATTAGTGTTAGTGATTATAATTTGGAAAATATTTAAAAAAAAAAATGCGTTATAGACATGAGGTGACACAACAGTACAAAGAAAAGGGAGGAATTGTTTATGTTTCCTGATTGTGAGTATGAATGTAAATCATGTAATATTTTTGTGAGGAATTATCCTTTTTGTATTTACAGTTTAAATCAATAGATATAGGAAGATGTGGTATGAGTGCCAATGAGACAACTCTCCATCCAAGTTACAATTTATAAAAGTAAACCATTCTAGGTCAATACATACATTTGAGTTACAACTACTTTCATTTCACAGCCAATATTTTGGTCCTGCTTTTTAAATCAAATACTATTTCATTATGTCAGGAGAACGTCAAAGTAAAATGCCTTTAAAAGTTTTTAATATATTCAAAACTTAAATCAAATTCCTGTTTTTTTAGGGGTTTTATTTTATCGGAATATTGGAAATAATTATTCTTCCCAACCGCTGGTCCAGTAATCAAGAGTTTTTGGAAAACTAACGATTTACGTTATTTTTATTTTAAAACTGTTTTTTATTCTTCTTTTAATGCATTGCTTTGACTAGTGTCAAGCTATCCAGCAATTCCCATTCTGCAATTCTCTTTATGAAAAGCTATCCTGCAATTCGTCATCCTGCAATTGCGTTTGGAAAACTACTTGAGCGACATTTTTATTTTTCTTTAAAATCATAGTTTTTGAGATTTTTGTTCGAAAACAAGATTTATATAGAAAATCAAAGATTTTTATATCCCATTAACAAAATTCTAACTTCAGTTTGTAGATTTTTAACTCATATTTACGATTTTGTAATTAGCATTCACAATAAAAACATCATGACAACGATTCAAACAAAGTATTATCTGTAAAGTCCAGGACGTGATTCGTATTAACGCATGTTGAACCCACATTTGCGATTTTCAAAACTCATATTAACGACTAAAAATATAGAATTTTGATGTAAAATAAAATTTTTCATGGTACTTGTATACCGACAATACAACTTCATAACTCACATTTCCGACCCATTGCCTCGGCAGTTCTGTATGGCTAGGGATTATAGACTCTGCCTAAATAAATAGCTTTTGGATAGTACTACAGCGGGAGGGTAAAGAATTTCTGGGGTAAGCATTCTTAAAGGCCGGAAATTTCGTCCGTAACACGGAAAAAAGTCAAATTTGATAAAATACGCATTTAGGTCACCAACTTTCCAACCCATTGCCTCGGCAGTTCTGTATGGCTAGGGATTATAGACTCTACTTTAATAAATAGCTATTGGGTAGTACTACAGTGGGAGGGTAAAGAATTTTTGGGGTAAGCATTCCTAAAGGCCGAAAATGTCGTCCGAAACATGGAAATAAGGCCTAATTCGATCAAATACGCATTGGGGACACCCGATTTTACGACCCATTGTTTCGGTAGTTCTTTATGGCTAGGGATTATAAACGGAACCCTAACGTATAGCTATTTGATAGTACTACAACGTGAGGGTAAAGAATTTCTGGGGTTAGCATTCTTAAAGGCCGGAAATTTCGTCCGTAACACGGAAAAAAGTCAAATTTGATAAAATACGCATTTGGGTCACCAACTTTCCAACCCATTGCCTCGGCAGTTCTGTATGGCTAGGGATTATAGACTCTACCTTAATAAATAGCTATTGGATAGTACTACAGCGGGAGGGTAAAGAATTTCTGGGGTAAGCATTCCTAAAGGCCGAAAATGTCGTCCGAAACATGGAAATAAAGACAAATTCGATCAAATACGCATTGGGGACACCCACTTTTACGACCCATTGTCTCGGTAGTCCATTATGGCTAGGGATTATAAACGGAACCCTAACGTATAGCTATTAGATAGTACTACAACTTGAGGGTAAAGAATTTCTGGGGTAAGCATTCTTAAAGGCCGGAAATTTTGTCCGTAACACGGAAAAAAGTCAAATTTGATAAAATACGCATTTGGGTCACCAACTTTCCAACCCATTGCCTCGGCAGTTCTGTATGGCTAGGGATTATAGACACTACTTTAATAAATAGCTATTGGATAGTACTACAGCGGGAGGGTAAAGAATTTCTGGGGTAAGCATTCCTAAAGGCCGAAAATGTCGTCCGAAACATGGAAATAAAGCCAAATTCGATCAAATACGCATTGGGGACACCCACTTTTACGACCCATTGTCTCGGTAGTCCTTTATGGCTAGGGATTATAAACGGAACCCTAACGTATAGCTATTGGATAGTACTACAACGTGAGGATAAAGAATTTCTGGGGTCAGCATTTTTAAAGGCCGGAAATTTCGTCCGTAACACGGGAAAAAAGTCAAATTTGAGTAAATACGCATTGGGGTCACCAACTTTCCAACCCATTGCCTCGGCAGTTCTGTATGGCTAGGGATTATAGACTCTACTTTAATAAATAGCTAGTGGATAGTACTACAGCGGGAGGGTAAAGAATTTCTGGGGTAAGCATTCCTAAAGGCCGAAAATGTCGTCCGAAACATGGAAATAAAGCCAAATTCGATCAAATACGCATTGGGGACACCCACTTTTACGAACCATTGTCTCGGTAGTCCTTTATGGCTAGGGATTATAAACGGAACCCTAACGTATAGCTATTAGATAATACTACAACGTGAGGGTAAAGAATTTCTGGGGTAAGCATTCTTAAAGGCCGGAAATTTCGTCCGTAACACGGAAAAAAAGTCATATTTGATAAAATACGCATTGGGGTCACCAACTTTCCAGCCCATTGCCTCGGCAGTTCTGTATGGCTAGGGATTATAGACTCTACTTTAATAAATACTATTGGATAGTACTACAGCGGGAGGGTAAAGCATTTCTGGGGTAAGCATTCCTAAAGGCCGAAAATGTCGTCCGAAACATGGAAATAAAGCCAAATTCGATCAAATACGCAATGGAGACACCCACTTTTACGACCCATTGTCTCGGTAGTTCTTTATGGCTAGGGATTATAAACGGAACCCTAACGTATAGCTATTGGATAGTACTACAACGTGAGGGTAAAGAATTTCTAGGGTAAGCATTTTTCCGTGTTACGGACGAAATTTTCGGCCGTTAAGAATACTTACCCCAGAAATTATTCACCCTCACGTTGTAGTACTATCCAATAGCCATTCATTAGGGTAACGTCTATAATCCCTAGCCATAAAGAACTACCGTGACAATGGGTTTGAAAGTGGGTGGCCCCAATGCTTATTTGATCGAATTTGGCTTTATTTCCATGTTTCGCACGAAATTTTCGACCTATAGGAATGCTTACCCCAGAAATACTTTGCCGTCTCGTTGTAGTATTATCCAATAGCTATTTATTAGAGCAGAGTCTATAATCCCTAGCAATACAGAACTGCCGAGGCAATGGATTTGAACAAGTGGGTGACCCCAATGTGTATTTTATCAAATTTGACCATTTTTCCGTGTTACAGACGAAATTTTCGGCCGTTAAGAATACTTACCCCAGAAATGTTTTACCCTCAAATTGTAGTACTATCCAATAGCTATGTATTAGAGCAGTGTCTATAATCCCTAGCCATAAAGAACTACCGTGACAATGGGTTTGAAAGTGGTTGGCTCCAATGCGTATTTGATCGAATTTGGCATATTTCCATGTTTCGCACGAAATTTTCGACCTTTAGGAATGCTTACCCCAGAAATTCTTTGCCGTCTCGTTGAAGTACTGTCCAATAGCTATGTATTAGAGCAGAGTCTATAATCCCTAGCCATACAGAACTGCCGAAGCAATGGGTTGGAACAAGTGGGTGACCCCAATGTGTATTTTATCAAATTTGATTATTTTTCCGTGTTACGGACGAAATTTTCGGCCGTTGAGAATACTTACCCCAGAAATTCTTTACCCTCACGTTGTAGAACTATGCAATAGCTATTCATTAGGGCAGCGTCTATAATCCCTAGCCATAAAGAACTACCGTGACAATGGGTTTGAAAGTGAGTGGCCCAATGCGTATTTGATCGAATTTGGCTTTATTTTCATGTTTCGCACGAAATTTTCGACCTTTAGGAATGCTTACCCCAGAAATTCTTTGCCGTCTCGTTGTAGTACTATCCAATAGCTATTTATTAAAGCAGAGTCTATAATCCCTAGCCATACAGAACTGCCGAGGCAATGGATTTGAACAAGTGGGTGACCACAATTTGTATTTTATCAAATTTGACCATTTTTCCGTGTTACGGACGAAATTTTCGGCCGTTAAGAATACTTACCCCAGAAATTCTTTACCCTCACGTTGTAGTACTATCCAATAGCTATTCATTAGGGCAGCGTCTATAATCCCTAGCCATAAAGAACTACCAAGACAATGGGTCGTAAAAGTGGGTGTCCCCAATGGCGTGTGTCGGTGTGGCCAAAAAGGGGGCATTGTTTTTTTTTACTTGGGACAAAAAATTGTTTCTATCTTTATTAAAAAAAAATCAAGACCAATCATAAACTTTTTTTTCAAAACTCAGTCGTATTTTATTGTTTTCCCAAAATTTTTTAATAAAAGCTTAAAATGTTTGTTTCATATTAGTCCAACGCCCCATTAATCCGACACCCCAACACAAATTTGTTGTTTTATTCATATGCAATTACAAATACGCATAGGCAAAATAACTGTGTGGGAATGACGCGTAGGCAAAGTAACTCCTTTAGCAGCAATTTGCACGACGTCTATCAAATAAAAACTTCACGTTCAGTTCAGTATAATAATACAGTTATGGCCTTCATAAAAGTTAATATCCAAATAAAATAACCATCACAAATAACCCCTCTTTCCCGCGGGTGACTGCGTGTAGGCAGAATAACTGTTAGGGAATATGCACGTCGAAAAAATAACCCCATATTTCCCGCGGGAAAATGCGCGTAGGCAAAATAACTGTGTGGGAATGACGCGTAGGCAAAATAACTCCTTTAGCGGCAATTTGCACGACGTCTTTCAAATAAAAACTTCACGTTCAGTTCAGTATAATAATACAGTTATGGCCTTCATCAAAGTTAATATCCAAAATTATTAAATGATTTATCTCGAATAAACTTATTTTCCCTCGTTCCTACAGACCTCGAGGAAAATAACCCTTTTCTCGATTTAATAATATACACCTATTGACTGGTTATGAGGGTAATAGCAAGTTTGTTGTCCCTGAGATACCAACTATTGCTTGAGGCGAAGCCGAGGGCAATAGTTAGTATCAAAGGGACAACAAACTTGCTATTACCCTCATAACCAGTCAATAAGTGTTTTATTATACCGAACAAACCATCTTTCTAAAAAATTCTACATACATCATCTGAAAGAAAAGAAAAATGTCACATAAACAAAATGAACTATAAGGTTTTTTTTATAGTCCGTGTTGTATTTGTAAATATTTCATTTACTGAAATCAAGACTAGGAATATTTGTTTAAACATTCCCGTGCGTATGATAAATTCTACTAGACTAGCTAAAGTACTGTACACCAAAGCAATCACATTTTCTGATGACGACAATAAACCCATATTATACATTTACTATATTTTAGATCTTTTAAAAATTCGTCGCGAAGATTTTCTTTTTCTTTTTTAATTGCTTCTGGTAAGTGATATATTAATTTGAAATTACGACCGACACAAACAGATTATACCGTTTACGATATCAGAGTTTGACGTTGCCAAGCGCACAAATCCAAGCAGAATAGTTAATGACGTCATTGTTGTCCAATGAAAAATAAGTATGAAAAAGTACGGGAAATATGATTATAAAACTATTAACCGGGGTAATAGTCTTTGAAACTATTGACTGGCAAATAGTCTGTGGAATGAAATAGCACAACTATTTCAGTATTTTTTATATAGAAAAAACATACTGAGGTATAATAATATTATCTGTTTCTGTGATATACTCATAAGAAAGAGTAGTTCAAATACCACGTCAACAACGATTATACGGAAGAGTGTCTTGACTTGGGGGGGGGGGGGGGGGGGGGCAAAGGTGTAACAGCACAATATAAGAACTCACTATAAAAATCAGTTGAAAAAAGCCTTGACTCATCGGATTAAAAAGCACAACTTCAATATAACATCTGTGATGTCTTACACAAGTACAGCAACGTAACTAATAATTTTTAATATCAAATTTATTTTTAAAATTACTTCTAAACTAATCATTTAAACAATATACATGTATGTGAAAATATTAATAATTAACTCTTTATTTTAGGTCTTTACTAAAGTAGAAAAGCTGTCTGCATATTATTCAAATGTCAAGTAATGTCATGATGCTGATGTAACTGCAGTATTATAAGATGGTAAGTTATTATTTGTCATAGATATAAGTTTAAAGTAAGGACACGAAATATAATTCTGTATCACGAATACAAATTTGAAAATGCATGCAGTCGACAGATCATCATTTTTAGCTCGCCTGCACCAACGCTGTCACTTGGTGTCCGTCGTCTGTCGTCGGCGTCCGTTCACTTTTACAATGATCATCTTCTCTGAAACTATTGGACCAAATTCATCCAAACGTGGACAAAATCATCATTAGGGTATTTAGTTTTAAAAACGTGTCCGATGACCCAACCCCAACCAACATGTTCGACATGGCTAAAAAAAGAGCAGGAGTAAAATGCAAGTTTAGTCTATAATCTTTAAGACCACTTTAGATAGAGAAAATTATACTGGGGCAAAATGTTCAGAACGATGCTATCTACCATCTTTCTGTAAGCATTAAATAGACGGTTTTATGTAGAAGTTATTGCTCTTAAAAGATAAACATCAACTTTATGTAGCAAAAATGATCAGCAAGACAAGATCTAAATATAGGTCTGGCATGTTTAAAATTGACAGTCGGTTTCTAATTGGAGTAATTGTCTTTTAAAGACGATTTTACCATTCATTTTGCGTTTTTGCTTATTATCTAGAAAACTATAAGATATAGATAGAAACATTTAAAGCAGCAATGATTAGTAAGACAAGATCTACAAATAAGTCGTATTACGGAAATCGTCAGTTGATGACCATATTGGGGTTATCACGATTAAATGATGGTTTTTACTTTTTTTTCCCTTTTAAATACGCCCGTTTACGGGACGTATTATGGTATACCTTTGTCCGTCCGTCGTCAACATGTCGGGCAATTTTTTTACGTGAGTAAGTATAAGTCAAAAACGCTTTAACCAACTTGCATGACACTTTGGTGAATTGTTTATATCTATTGACGTGAGCTACCTTTCGATTTTTATAAATTTTAGATTTTACGTTACCGAGCTATGGGGTTTTATTTATTAAAAAGGGGGGATTTTCCAGTTTTCGGACAATAACTCAAAAATGCTTTCAGAAGTTTTCGTGAAACTTTGGTAAATTGTTTATATTTATTGACGTAAGCTCCGTTTCCATTTTTATTAGATTTTACGTTTCTGAGTTAATAGATTTTGTTCATAAAAAAGGGGGACTATTCAGTTTTCGGACAATAACTCAAAAGTGCTTTGAGCAGTTTTCATGAAACTTTGGTGACTGTCTTATATCTATTAAAATAACCACCCTTTAGTTTTATTTTTAGAAATTTCTGATATGACATTGAGGAGTTACGGAACTTTATTTTTTTTGGAAAAGCGACAGGCGTATCATGCGCCCTTTATTGCCTTTTATTTTGAAAACTATAATAGATAGATGGAAATTTTAAAAAGCAAAAACAAGATCTGCAAATAGATTTGCTAACATTTAGATGAACTTGTCAGTTGTTATTTTGTAGGAGTTATTCCCCTTAAATGACGATTTATGACACGTTTTGAGTTTTGGGCCAAAAACGATATGAGATAGAAACTGTAAAAAGAAAAAAAAAAAAAAAATCAACAATACAATTTCAACCCCCCAAAAAAGAGATTTTAGTCATGAATAATATTCTAGTCTAAATTGTTGAAAATGCACATAGGCCTAGGTGAACAACACATGCTCTTTAGAGCGTCTAGTTTATATGTTTGGGATATTATAAAAATCTGTTGATGGATTTATTGTTGTTAATGTTAATGTCCAGTTGCAAATACTTCATGCATATTGAGGACAAAATCGAAGAAATATAGTAACTAGCAAAACTATTCATGCATGTCCACCTAAAATAAAACTTCATTTAATGCTACCTACCTAAAAATAAACTTATATTCGATTTTCAAATATTTTATTTTTGTGTAATTGTAGAATGAGCCTATGTTGCACATGTTTTACAGTACTACTTTTTAATCAATTATACATGTACATTAAATTTGAAAAATGCCAAAATACTATTGCACATTGTATTTAAATTATCTTTTATTCAAAAAGAATTCCTGTTCAAAAATATTGAGATCATCATTACATGATTTAAGAAAGGCTTATAATATTATGTTAAGTTAACTTGTTGTTTTTCATTAAACTTTAATTATGATTTTTCCTTATTTTACAGGCTATCGCTTCAAACATATATTAGCTGGGTACAGAGGACTAATTAAAGATACAACATGTGTGAAGAAACTGTGAAAAATAAAGAAATGTGACAAATTTTAAAGAATCTAGAGTTACATGTATATAATTTATTGACAAAAGTCAGTTTTGATTAATCATAGTGACAAAAGACTGCTTTTATAGAAGTTATTTATTCAGTTACTAGTATTAAAAAATGTTTAAACTTAACTTTCTTATGTGTATTTGTGTCACCAGACAAATACCTTTTTGGTGGAAAAAATAATTATAGCCCCACTATAAGAGCGGGGGCTATAAACAATCTTCTTGTACATTTGTCTGTCCGTCTGTCTGTCTGTCTGTCTGTCTGTCTGTCTGTCCAACAGATGATTATCTCTCAGAACCTACAGAAAACAATGAACTCCTATTTCGATAGCAGCTCAATGGATGATTGCTTTTAAGATCTGTTGGACACATATTTCCGACTTGCTCTTACTTTCAATTACGAGCTGGTGGTCACGAAAGCCGAGAAGGATCATTCATAATTCAGAATTCAAAATTCAAAATTCAGAACTCGCAAATCAAGAAAGATAATCCTTTTTTATTGCAGTTGATATCCAAACACAACAAATATTATCACAATCTTATCACTTGATCTTAGATATACCGTAGATTAATAATATAATTGTACACAGAGAATCAATCAAACAATCAAACTTTTGAAAGGATATGTGCCGGCATATTTATGTCAAACAAGTGAAACATTTCTTGTTATCACTAATACTCAGGGAGAGGGGGATATCGAGTGTCACTTCAATCCGTATTCGAATGTTTTATGTTTTTCTTCAGTTCATAACTTGAGAATGATTCATAATATAAAAATAAGAAGATGTGGTATGATTACCAATTAGACAACTCTTCACAAGAGACTAGGTGAAAAATGTAAAACAATTCAAACGATTTATGTACAAAATAAAATGAACGAAAAACAAATATGATATACAGCAACAAACGACAACCACTTAATTACATCCTGACTTGGAACAGGCAGATACAGAATGAGGCGGGGTTAAACTAGTTTGACGGTGCACCAACCCTCCCCTTACCTGGGAGAGTGGTGTAACAGTACAACATAAGAACAAACTATAAAAATCAGTTGAAAATATCTTAACTCATCAGATCGATACACAACAGAAAAAAAATATTTAATTTGATTCTTATTTACTGATAACAAAATCAATATTAATACAAATAAAAACAATATTCAAAGAGTGTTGAATTAGTAACCTTTTAGAATAAGTTTATTTAAAGGATCGATAAGTTTACATTGTAGAGGATGCTTACATAATTTTGATATACTTTGATTGTGTTATAAAATTTCAACTATAATCATTTTTTTAATGATTATTTATTAATTTATTTCTGTTATATATTTAACCCGAAAACGCCTTTGTAAAGGGCGAAAATGTTTTGTAATGTTTCTGGATATCAATTTCACCCAGGGCTTCCGGATTTTTTCTTTGCATCTTAACACTGTCAGTAGGAAATCTAGTGTCATAATAATGCCTCCCCTGTAAACACTGAAAACTTTATCTTTCAATGTTGGTTCTGTTTTAGCAAGGACACTATTAGTTATAAATTCACAAGAAAACGTTCTGGTAGTAAAAATAAAAATAGATTTGAAATAAAAAAACAATAATTCCAAATAAAGTTGTCATTTCCCTCCTAAAATAGCAAGCGACGAGTACAAAAGGCTATAGAAGTTTTGTGTATAATAAAGATAAAAAAAAGAAGCTTTGTGAAAAATTAGGTTAAAATACTCCTATGCGAATAAATTCCGGGAGTACCAGCTTCAATTTATGTTTCTACTGGCTGTATACCTCTCTGGAACATGCCAATTATTCGCATATGTATCATACAATGTATGTACATTTTGGCTCAGTGGTACTGATGGCATTTGAAGCAGCCCTCCTTTTCATATATTGATATCGGGGCTTTTTATGTCTTGCTATGAAGTAAGGGGTTTGCTCATTGTTGAAGTGGTAATAAGCATTGTATGTAAGTTTCATCACATTGGTTGAGGCAAATAAAGTGAGAGTGTGGAAACGGCAAATTTAGCAATTTTTCCATTTATAAAGGGGCATAGCTCGAAAACAGTGAAAGTAACGCCAGCCCAATTTAAAATGAATTATAAATAAAGAAACTTTTTTTTTTAAATTTTGATGCAAGAAATCGTTTTTTTTTTAAAATATCAGAATATGATAAAGATTCTTTGCTAGAAAGTCATAGAATTTTCATTTAAATCTAGTGAAGTAACTTTTAAGATGCTTGGGTAGAAATTTGAATGGAGAGAACATAATTTTAATAATAAAACATCTTCATTTTATTGCAAAAAGGTAGCTTGTTTGGATCTAACCAACCTTACACAATCCTCAAACGAGAGCTTACTTTGGAAGTATATTTATATTTGGCTATAGCTGTATTAGCAGAGTTGATTTTTATATTCTTTGATATAACAGTTACTTCAATTTACTCAATTTTCTTTGTAAAATATATATACATATATTATAATATAATGTATATAATTTTTGGGACCCGTTATAGCTTGCTGTTATAAGTCAAAGATATGTTCTAAATATTGAAGCATTTCACTTTGCAATGGGTACAAAGGGGGATACATTTTAATATATGTAGCCTCCTCCTTTTATAACTGCTGCTTCCTTTGAATCTTAAATAAGAAATAAGATAAAACAAATGTTTGTGTTATCTCGCAAAAGTTTGCGTTATAACGCAAAGGTTTGCGTTATTTCGCAAAGGTTTGCGTTATATCGCAAATGTTTGCGTTATAACGCAAAATGTTTGCGTTATAACGCAAAATGTTTGCGTTATTTTGCAAATGTTTACGTTATATCGCAAAGGTTTGCGTTATTTCGCAAAGGTTTGCGTTGAAACGCAAACATAGGAAGAAATATTAAAAAATAAAGTTGTGTGGCGCTTAATCGCTTCCGTATATATGTCTCTGCTTTATCGAATAAAATATTTGAAATTGAATATAAATATATAATTAAATAAAATCGAATGAAGTCTTGGGATCGTCCAGAATCGATGAATATTATATAAAAGTCGAAACAAAGCACAAAATTCATTTATAACAAACTGTCAGAAGTATAAACTTTTCTAAACATAGATGCCAACAATAAACTGTAAATAAACACATTCTACAGTTGAACTCGACAAGCCAAGACACTCGGTTATTGACCTAAATTTATTTGAGAATGCAGATCAGTAGCTCATAAATAATTAGTCGCCAATAAGATGGCAAGTGAGGTGCATCGATATGATATACTAGAATTGTGATCCTAAATATATGATATATAAGAAAAAATGCACATAAGCAGCAATATGATAATATATTGTAATAAAGTTTGTATTTCTCTCTTCTGGACACTCCCATCCACAAACACCTAAGGGGCGAACAAAAGGTCCACCACACAATTAAATTTCAAATAAACATGAAAACACCTACATTACTACGGAAGCGTATTAGCGCCACAAGACTTTTTTTTTATTTTTCTTCCTACGTTATAACGAAAACCTTTGCAAAATAACGCAAAACCTTTGCTTTATAACGCAAACATTTGCGAAATAACGCACACCTTTTTGTTATAAAGCAAACCTTTGCGAAATAACCTAAACCTTTGCGTTATAACGCAAACCTTTGCGTTATAATGCAAACCTTTGCAAAATAACGCAAAAATTTGCGTTATAACTCAAACATCTTGATTTCAATTATCCATTAAGTTTTTTATATATGTCCGTCTGTCATTAATTTCGGTTGTGATTTTAAATAAGAAAAGAACCATAAATACAAGGCCAAATCATTATAATAAATATGCACAGGAATAAGGGAATACTTGAAGTGCCATTATACATAAATTAAGAATGATTTGTGCATCAGAAAAGTATATAATTTAACAAGAAAATAGATATGGTATAGGCATATTTTAATTGAAAGAGCAAAAATAATGTTATACAATTGTGAAACTTGCGAGTCAAATAGACAAAACAATCTTTCTGCTATAAAATCAATTATTAATAAAGAAACATTTTGTTTTTAAATTTTGATGCAAGAAATCGTTTTTTTAAATATCAGAATATGATAAAGATTCTTTGATAGAAAGTCATAGAATTTTCATTTCGATCTAGTGAAGTAACTTTTAAGATGCTTGGGTAGAAATTTGAATGGAGAGAACATACTTTTAATAATAAAACATCTTCATTTTATTGCAAAAAGGTAGCTTGTTTGGATCTAACCAACCTTACACAATCCTCAAACGAGAACTTACTTTGGAAGTATATTTATATTTGGCTATAGCTGTATTAGCAGAGTTGATTTTTTAAATATTCTTCGATATAACTTCAATTTACTCAATTTTCTTTCTGTGGCGTAGCTCCATATACGCTGTCACGCCATGGCGTGCACAACGCGGAGTTTATAAAAAATTGACACCGGAAATGATTTCATTTTAAACCATTCTTCAAAATTCTATGTAGCTTTTCCATATCAGAACGGTCTTGTCGGCAATACAATGAGTGCTGGATGACCTTTAAAAAATTAGGCAGTAAATATACATTATCTTCCTGTCCTTTTGAACAGTACCGTATTTGCTAAAAAAATTCAGTTAAAATTTTAGGCCGGATCGACAATGAATAATTTTCAAAATTCAGAGTGTGATGAGATAATGTTTTGAAGTTGTGATATGAGCTAGATAGACGCTGCATATGGCCCGTGTGCTTAATTTTAGAAACAAATATTTGGGTTACTGGTGCGCAATTATATGTTTACGTTTTACCGACAAGAAGATGGTACTCAGAATAGAATCTTGTACGGCTTCTGATTGGATTATATAGGATTGGAATTACTTTTAATCGAAGGTGTATCCAATTAGGTTTATAAAATCCAGAAAATCAAACTCACATTTTACAAAGAAAAACAGTAAAATAAGATCTTCAAGTAAGTCAAAGTATAGAAAATATATTCAATATCTGCACGTCGGAGCTTAGTGATAAAGTGCCGACAACACGGTGTCAAACGCTTGATATCGATTTTGAGATCAACTTAGACAAGGCCATGGACGTTTTTGTTGCAGCTAAAAAAACGGAGAGCAGATTTTTG